GGGGGGGGAGTAAAGAATCCCGATTTCACCGACTAAATGGACGTGGCCCTCGACAAATATAGGCGTAGCTTATCAGACAGTTGCGTGTTAGAGAGCATACATGAATTACCTGAAAAAATAAACAGATCTTCGACGTTTCGAGCGAAGGCCCTTGGCTACGAACTTCCCGACAAAGCCTTTATTTCAATTTATATTTTTTAGGTAGTTGTACATATATGTCTATGACACCGCAGCTGTCTGTAATCGGCACTACCTCAACTAGACACTGGCACGGACTGTTCGAGATTGTGGCTTATCCGATACTTTAAATATAGCAGACAGTATACATGCACAAGATACAAGTGTCACTTGGTGTATGTTGTGATGCCTCACGGTGTAAAATTTGCTGATCTTTTAATGATTTGCTTTTATCTTACAGTTCTTACTTAAAATTGTAAAAACTAATATAGGACCGTTCGAAAGCCTCACATATCGATTTTTCCACGAGAAACGTCATATGGACGTCTGGGGACGGGGGTTTGCAGCTGTGATGTTTCTCTGTAAAACATCATGCAAAAATTCAATAGTTTTTTCGAAAGCCTTCATATTTCGAAATCATCGTTGCAGAATATAAAAAGAAAGATGATATACAAAGACCACTCTATACATTCGTAATATCATACCTGTTCTATGCATTTATATTATTGTGCCTTCGTTGCATCGAAAACACTGAAATTTCAAGAAAAACGCGCTAAAATTGTCAATATTTTATGCAAAAAAAGTTGTTTTGAGAAATGTTGGAATTTTTTAAGTTCATAGTTCCTATATTTGAATTCAACTGTCTTGAAGACCGGTCAAATTCAATAGTAGAAAATTACCTTATGCATGTGCTATAAGAACAAATATCGATAACTACGTGTGACGTTTTTAAGGGGGTGGGGTGTCTTCAGAGAAACGTCCAACTAATAACGTTTCTCATGGACAAAATCGATATGTGCATGAGGCTTCCCCAAATTCATCGTCATCAAGACAATGAAAAGGTAAAGCACTACTAAGACTATTGAATGATAAAGTTTAACACACAAACACAACGTATCTTAACTGATCTCAATGACGTTCTTGAGAGAGGTCTCCTGCAAAGGTATATTGAACTCTTCCATTGAACTAAAGTAGTGCACCGGACCGACATTCCTAGAACAAAGAGATTTTAGACGTGTCCTAGCCATGTGGCATGTACTAATTCCACATAAAACAAACCGAAAATAAAAGTTACAACACGATGTTTAACGATCTTTAACCGCAATCGCGACGGCTCTTGAAAATGTCCCAATATCAATTACG